GGAAGGGCAGTCCCCCAGCCCAGGACACTCACTGCGTCCGCAGGGTGAAGGCCGCGCTGGTGATGGAGGTGGGCAAGTTGAGCCCTTTGGTGATCTCCCGCCACAGCTTCTTGTTGATCACTTCCACCAGGCCCCCCTTCTCGGTCACCAGCACGTACAGCATGTACAGGTCCAGCACCTGTTTGGCCATGATGGGGATCCGGTTGACGGGGGTCCCTGTGGAGAGGGGGAGGTCAGGATGCTGCAGGGAGCAGGGGCCAGGAGACGGAGGAGCAGGGAGCAAGTGGGATCCAGACGCCCGGGATCCCTTCCCTAGCTCCTGCACGATCGCTGCACCGTGCCTCAGTTTCCCCTCTGGGCCGCTCTCGCTGTTTCCCGCCCACGTGTCACTGGCACCCAGCACAGCTGAGGCCTGCGGGACGGACTGCAACGGGAGACGCGCTAGGGGAAGCAGGGCCCAGCTGACGTCCAGCAGCGCCCGGGGGAGGGGTCGCATATTTGCACGTTGCTATTTCCACCTCTTTTATGCCCGCCGGGCGGGGGCCGGACATGCACACGCGCTGGAGCCTGGTGTATTGGCACGGCCTAGCTGACGGGCTGGTTGACTTGATTTCCTGCCCCTGGAAGCCCCAGAAGGCAGGGAGGGACTCAGGGGAGGGGAGGAAGAGGATGTGATGAAGAGAAAACCCAGCCCCCTCCCCCCCAGGCGATTCGCGGCTGGCGTCAGAGACGCGTCACTCTCCCCAGAGCCTCGCTCCCTCCCCGCTGCTCTGCCCGTCCAGTGCGCGCAGAGGGCACCCGCTCCGTCGCGCCCGCTAGCAGACGAAGCCGGGCCGTTCACACGCCAAGAGGAGCCGAGGGGGGTTGGGCCCCAAACGCTCCTTCCGAGTCCCGCGCCCGGAGTTACCAAGGGGCCCCACTTGCCCAGGGAGGCTGAAAACGGCACGTGCCTCGGTTTCCCTCCTGATAAAAATCCCGGGATTGGGGCCAGGCCGAGGATGCTTAGGGATGCGCCCGCTAGAAAACCGGGTGGGAGGCAGGGCTGTAACCCTGAGGCTGCAGCGTGGCTGGGCGGCGTCTCGGCTGCTGCTCCGTGATACCCGGAGCCAGGCAAGGATCCCGCCCACCCCAGCCCTGTCTCCCGGGGCA